TTGACAATGGTGGCAAGAGCATACAGTGGAGTAAAGACAGCCTCTTTAATAAATGGTGTTGGGAAAATTGGACAGCTACATGCAAAAAAATGAAACTAGACCATCAACTTATACCATACACACAAAAAAACTCAAAATGGATAAAAGACTTAAATGTGACCCATGAAGCCATAAAAATCCTAGAAGAAAATGTAGGCAACAAAATTTCGGACATCCTACACAGCAGAATTTTCACTGATACATCACCTAAGGCAACAGAAACAAAGGAAAACATGGACACATGGAACTACATCAAAATAAAAAGCTTCTGCACAGCAAAAGAAACAACCATCAAAATGGAAAGGCAACCCACTGTATGGGAGAACATCATTGCCAACGATACATCAGATAAGGGGTTAATTTCCAAAATATATAGAGTACTCATACAACTCAACAAAAGGAAGACAAAGAACCCAATTAAAAAATGGGCAGAGGAGCTGAATAGACATCCCTCCAAACAGGACATACAAATGGCCAAGAGACATATGAAGAAATGCTCAACATCACTAATCATCAGAGAGATGCAAATGAAAACAACAATGAGGTATCACCTCACACCTGTCAGAATGGCCACCATCAACAAATCATCAAACAAGTGTTGGCGAGGATGTGAAGAAAAGGGGACTCTAGTGCACTGCTGGTGGGAATGCAGACTGGTGCAGCCACTATGGAAAACAATATGGTGTTACCTCAAAAAATTAAAAATTGAACTTCCATTTGACCCAGTGATCCCGCTTCTAGGAATATACCCTAAGAAGCCTCAAACACCAATCAGAAAAAATATATGTACCCCAATGTTCATAGCAGCACTATTTACAATAGCTAAGATCTGGAAACAGCCCAAGTGTCCATCAGTAGACGAATGGATAAAAAAGCGGTGGTACATATACACAATGGAGTACTATGCAGCTGTAAGAAAGAAAGATCTCTTACCCTTTGAGACGACATGGAGGGACCTGAAAAGTATTAGCCTAAGTGAAACAAGCCAAGCAGAAAAAGTCAAATACTACATGATCTCCCTTATATATGGAATATAATAAATATAACAGTCTGAGGAATAGGGTAGACCCAGAAACACGGAAGTAGGGTACAGACTGACAACCCTCAGAAGAGGGGTAGTGGGGGGTGGGAAGAGATAAACCACAGAACTTATATGCATATATGCATAACCAATGAACATGGACAACAAAGCCGGGGATGGGGCTGGGGGGATGGGGAGGAGGGTGTCAAGGGGGTAAAAAAGGAGAAATATCTGTAACAAAAATTAGAAAATAAATTTAAAAAAACCTGAAGATGTTCTTCATGTATTAATACAGAAAGATCTCTGAAATATATTGTTAAAGAAAAAAATACAAGGCAAAATAATGTGGATTATATGCTAGCTTTTATATAAAAAGAGAGAAAAATAATAATTTTTATTTGTATTTGCTTATATAAGAATAAAGAAACTCAGGAAGGTAGTGTTGGGAACAGTGGGAACTGGCAGGTTACAAAAATATCAGGGAGCCTTTTGCTATATACCTGCTTATATTTCCTGGGTTTAAACCATGTGAATGGATTACCTACTTTGAAAATATACCTCCTCAAATTAAGATCTTTGAAACCCTTCTTCAAATTATCAAATATCAACTCATAAGTTCTGAATCAATGACAAAATATTCATAAGTTTTCTAAGCATATTAGACTTTCACTAGATAGTAAAATTCAGTCTCTATCTTGAAATAAAGAAAATATTGCCAAGATTGAGGAAATGAGGTTGTCTAAGGGGAAAGAAATCTCAAAACATCTTAGGCCAGGTTTCAAGGATGAAATTACCTCATGTGTCTAATGACCTGAAATAGTATGGTATGAGCTCAATTTACCTCTCATTGATATCCTTAATTTCAGGATAATGAGTATTTGGTACTTGTCTTCTAAGTCTATTCACCAGCAGGGATTTTAATGCTCTACACAGATATTTCTCCAATATAATCCACTGACCAGAGGTACATGTTTAAAATGCAGTTTACTCATTCCCAGAATCAGAATATCTGGAGGTGAGATCCAGTAATCTACATTTTTTAACTAGCTCCCCAGGTCGTTTTTATGCAATCTGAAGATTAAAAACTACTATTCCACCAACAATAAATGTTCATATTCTATCAATGGCAATGTACCACCCAGATAACCAACCTATGGGAGCAAGTCACAAGGACACAGGAGGCAGCTTAAAGGGTCTCCCATCTGCTAAATCTAGATCCTTGATTTTCATTCATTATTAGAAACGCTATTCTAAGATAATAAAGGAATTCACCTATGTTGTCACCTAATGCTTTTATTTTCTACACTTAAATCTTTGATTTATTTGAACTTATACTGATGTATATAAGACATAGACCTAACTGTACCTTTTTCCAAATGGATACCCAATTGTACTGACACTTTTTTTTAAATCTAGTTTTATCCCACTAAAAATGAGATACCACCTTTATTTCAAACTAAATGATATGTATATTTAATTTTACTTCTAGAATTTCTATTCTGATTCCACTGGTCTTTCTTACATGTCACAAACATATAGTTCTAATGTCTGAGGCTTAGTGATATATTTTAACATCTAATATATCTAGTCTTTCTTCACTGTTTTTCTTTTTCAGAGGTATGTAGCTTTCCTCGCTTGTTTCCTCTTTCATATGAACTTTAATATTACTTGGTTATTATCGGGGGGAGCACATATTTTTATTTGGATCATGTTAAAATTAGAAATTAACCTACAGATAATTGACATGTTTATAATACTGCATCTTTGTATCAAAAAGATGTTATGTCTTTCCATTTTTTTCAAATCTACTTTTGTGTTCTTCAGGAGTATTTTAAATTTTTTGTCTGTAAATCTTGTACATTTCTTAATTAGTTTATTCTTATTTTTTTCTATGTTGGTATTGCAAATAGAGTCTTTTCTTCCATTATATCTTCAAACTGGCTGTTGTTTGTACATATGAAATATATTGATTTCTGTATAACAACTTTACTTTGATGAATTTTCCTCTTGTTTATACTAAGTTTTCAGTTAATTACTTTGGGTTTTCCCAACATATCGTCTGCAAATAGAGATGGCTTTATCATTTCCTTTCCAATTACTTCACCTCGATTTTTTTTCATTGCTATAACTGTTTTGACTAGTACCTCCAATATAATGTTAATTAGTCGTGGTAATAATGAGCATCAATTGTTTTGTTCCTGATTTTAGTTATAATACATACTTGGGTTTCCCCTTAAGTATGATATAGCTGAATTAAACACATCTGATCATATTACAGAATTAGCTATTGATTACTACATATTTTATTACATTTTCAAATAAGAGGGGTGTTAAATTTTGTCAAATGCCTTTTCTGTATATATGAAAATAATTAGATGAATTATAAGATTATTTTCTTCAAAATATCCTCACATTTAAAAAATCTACTTCATAGCTATTTTATCTTCTAATAGTCTAAAATTAAAGAATATGGGGCACTGGGCTGGGTTACTCAGTTGCTTAGAGCATCATTCTAATATGCCAAGGTTCTGGGTTGGATCCCCAGTCAGGGCGCATACAAGAATAAACCAGTGAATACATAAATAAGTGGAACAACAAATCAATGTTTCTCTCTCCCTCCCTTTCTCTTTTCATCTCTCTCTCTCTCTCTCTCTCTCTCTCTCATATCAATAAATTTTTTTAAAAAGAATATGTGGAGGGATGAACAGGCAGAGCACTGAGGATTTTTAGGGTAATGGAACTATTCTGTATGATACTATCATGTTGATACATCATTATAAACATGTCCATCCATAGAATGTACACCAAGAGTGAACTCTAATCTAAAGTATGGGCTTTGGGTGATAATGACATGTCAATGTAGGTTTGTCAGTGGTAGCCATGTCCACTCTGGTGGAAGATGTTAGTAATGGGGAAGGTTATATATGTTTAGCAGAAGAGGGTATATAATGAATCACTGTACCTTCCCCTCAATTCTGCTGTGAACCTTATATTGTTCTTAAAAAATTGTCAGTTTTTAAAAAATTACAAGCTTCAAAGAATTATTCCAATTTATCATTTGTCCTTTGACTTTTTTTAAAATATGTTTTTATTGATTTTAGAGAAAGAGGAAGAGAGAGAGAGAAACATTGATGTGAGAGAGAAATATCAATTGACCATCGGTTGCTTCCTGCACACACCCTGACTGGGGATTGAACCTGCAACCTGGGTATGTGCCCTGACCAGGAATAAAACCGGCAACTTTTCAGTGTACAGAACACTCAACCAACTGAGCCACACCAACCAGAGCTCCTTTGACTTTATGATTTCTTTTGTCACATTAAAATCTTTTTTCCTTATTTCTAGTTATATAACTATTTATAATATTATGTTTTTTATACTCCTAAAATAAATCCACTTGCTAACATATAGAATTTTTTTTACAGTAATAATTTTGGTCTTGACATCAATATATAATAAGAGTGTGGAAGCTTTCCTTCTTTTTCTGTGCTCTGGAATACTTTAAATAGCATTCACAATCTGCTTTTTAATGGTTTAATAGAATTCCCTTTCACACAGTCTGGGCTGGTGTTTTTGTGTGTGTGTGGAGTTACCTACCTCTCTGACAATTTTCTATTGCATGTATGGAAATTGTTCCAGTTAGGTTTTCTCTCTCTGCTTTCTTTTGGTTTGCTTTGATGTTGTTTTTCCTCTTTTAAATCAGTGGCTTAATTCATTACTTTTCATTCTTCCTTTTAATTGACATAATTATTTAAAGCTAACCATTTGATTTTTGAATGATGTGAATATATTACCCATGTAAATAATTAAAATTTTTTAATTAAGGAAAGGCAAATTAATACTAACATTAAATTTTGACTAGAAAACATGGCATATACTAATGTAAATTGACCTTAACAACCAAATACTGACATTTTCCTACCTTTTACTTAGCACTTACCTTGAAGGGAATCCAATTTAGCTTTAATTAGCATTCTTAACCTTCCTACTTCTTGCCTTTTCAGTTCATCAAGTTTTGTCCTCACATGGTGACTTACTAAATCCAGCTCTTTGCTTAGCCTCCCACTCTGTTGACACAATAATAAATTAGTTTTGTCTATTATACTGCATTTTTAGAACAGATACCATATATTAAAAATAGTGTTACAATAAAGTAGTGATAGATATTTTTGACTAATTTAGATAAATTTGATATTACAAAAGCATTTCTTTCAGAAGATATTCAGTTTGTAAGTCTAAAATCAAGATATCTAAAAGCCATAAAATGTATAAAAGCATGATTAAAGCACAAAGGAGAAACTCAAAAAGTAACTTGAATTATAAAATGGTGCATCCATTTTGGAAAAAATTGGCAGTTCCTCAAAAAGTTAAACACAGCAACTCCCTCTATGGAATATGCCTGCACTTTTCACCACCCCCTTCTCCCAGGGGTGTTTTCCTTGCCTCTCTGTTTCCCCTAAGTTCTAAGGGCCCTTCTTTTGCCTATGTAACTTATTTCCTGATCCTATTTCTTCCACAGCTCACTTCTTCTACCTCTGTGACTTTCAAAACAAACTTTCTTTTGCCCCGGCCAAGTAGCACAGTTGGTTAGAGCGTCATCCCAATATGCCAAGGTTGCAGGTTCAATCCCTGGTCAGGGCACATACAAGAATCAACCAACAAATGCATAAATACATGGAACAACCAATTGATGCTTCTTTCTCTCTCTCTTTCCCACCCTTCCTCTCCCTCTCTAAAAATAAAGCAATAAAAATTAAATAAACTTTCTCTTATATAAAGAAAAGTTAAAAACAGAGTTACCATATGACCCAGCAATTCCATTTCTAGGTATATAACAAATGTATTGAAACCTGTTCACATAGAAACTTGTACATGAATGTTCATAGTAGCATTCATTATTTATACTAGCCAAAACGGTAGAAATAACTCAAATGTCCATCAACTGGTGAATTGATAAACAATTCCATACAATGGGATATTACTCAGCCATAAAAAGGAATCAATGTACTAATACATACCACAACATGATAAACCTTGAAAACTTGATTTCATTCATTATACAAAGTCAAAGAAGCCAACATAAAAGGCCTCCATTATTGTATTCATATGAAATGACCTAGAATAGGAAAATCTATAGAGATAGAAAGTAGATTAATGGCTGCCAGGGGCTAAGGAGAGAAGAAAATAGGGAGTGGTTGCTTAAAATGGGTATAGGATTTCTTCTGGGGCAAATGCAATTGTCCTAAAATTAGTAGTAATGATTACATGACTTGGTGGATACACTAAAAACCACTAGAATGTATGCTATAAAGGAGCAAATTTTTATGGTATGTGAATTATATTTCAATAAGGTTTTTTAAAAGTAAGTTGGCCTGCCCTGGCCAGTTTGGCTCAGTGGTTAAAGTGTCGGCCTGCAGACCAGAGAGTCCTGAGTTTGCTTCCCGCTCAGGGCACGTGCCTCAGTTGCAGTTTGTCCCCGGCCCTGCTGGGGTTGTGTGGGTGGCAACCAGTCGATGTGTTTCTTTCATGTCAATGTTTCTCTCTTTCTCTTCCTCCTTCTCTCCCTCCCACTCGATCTGAAGATGAATGCAAAAATGTCCTCAGGTGAGGATAATAAATAAATAAATAAATAAATAAAACTAAGTTGGCCTACTTCAGCTGTAGTCATCTCATACATAAAAAACTTCAGAATTCATCTTTGAAATTATTAGGGTTTCTCCTTTGATTACTTTTTTCATAGATAAGTAATCAGATACATGTTCCAAGATTTAAAAACAAAATAGCTACTAGTTTACTTTCTCTTATCTATAAATGCATTTGCAATCACAAACTGCAAGTCTAACTAGCAATCAGACAGATAAACCATTTAGGATTGAGTCAATGGGACCTGCTGAAGAAGATAATGAAAAGAAACCCCACAAGGGAGACCAAGAAAGAATGTTCAGAGAGGAAGAAGGAGAACTAGAAAATATGCTATTATAAAAGCAAAAAGAGCAGCACAGTATATTTTAAGGAGAGAATGGTCATTATTACTAAATAAAATAGTTCTCAAAGTGCGGTCCCCAAGTGGAAGCATCTGCATCACCTGGGAACTTTATTTTTATTTTTATTTATTTTTTTTTTTATCCTCACCCGAGGACATTTTTCCATTTTTTGTACAGATAGAGTGGGAGGGAGAGAGAGGAAGGGAGAGAGAGAGAGAAACATCGATGTGAAAGGGACACATCGAGTGGCTGCCACCCGCACGACCAACCAGGGCCGGGGACAAATTGCAACCAAAGTACGTGCCCTTAGCGGGAACCGAACCCCAGTCTCTCCGGACCGCAGGCCGACGCTCTAACCGCTGAGCCAAACTTGCCAGGGCTCACCTGGGAACTTTAGTAATACAGGCCCTAGACTTACTAAATCAGGAAGTCTACAGGTGGGGCCCTAAATCTGTGTTTTAACCAGCCCTAAAATCTGAGAACCATTGAAATCAAGTAAAAGAGTTCAGTAAAAAGAAGAATAAAAAGTGTTTACTGGACGTAACAATTAAGAAATCACTGATGCAGCCCTGACCGGTTTGGTTCAGCGGTTAGAGCGTCGGCCTGCGGTCCTGAGAGACCCGGGTTCGATTCCCGCTAAGGGCGCGTACCTATGTTGCAGTTTGTCCCGGGCCCTGGTCGGTTGTGCGGGTGGCAGCAACTCGATGTGTTCCTTTCACATCGATGTTTCTCTCTCTCTCTCTCTGTTCCTCTCTCTCCCTCCCACTCTACCTGAACAAAAAATGGAAAAATGTCCTCGGGTGAGGATAAAAAAAAAAAAAAAAAAGAGAGAAATCACTGATGCAAAGCTGTATGTAGTGAAATGATATGACAACCTCTAATATTTATTTAATAAATATAATATTCAGATGAAACCAAAAAAAAAAGAAAGAAAGAAAGAAGTTACTAGTTCAGAGCAAAATGGCAATGAGTAGGTGGAAGTTACACTCACATCCTACCCAGACCACATCAGAGTTACAACTAAAGTTGGAACAATCAACCTGGAAAACTATCTAAAGATTAACTGAACAGAAGTCTTACAACTAAGAATATACAGAGGAACACACATCAAGAAAAAGGAAAGGGAAAGAAATCCCACCAGGGAGATCAAGAAAGAGAAGAGATGTTCTGGCCCAACATCCACATGAGAGTGAAGGGAGGTTAAGAATCCAGAGAGATCTCTCAGCTGAAGAGGTCCTCCTAAAGGAGCAAGGAGCCTGGGCCCCATACCAAGCTCCTTAACCCAGTGATAAAAAGCAAGGACCTATAACCAAGACTATTCTACCCAGCAAAGGCTATCATTTAAAATTGAAGAATAGCCCTGGCCGGTTTGGCTCAGCGGTTAGAGCGTCGGCCTGCGGTCTGGAGAGACCCGGGTTCGGTTCCTTGGTTGCACGTACCTTGGTTGCAGTTTGTTCCCAGCCCTGGTTGGGTCGTGTGGGTGGCAACCACTCGATGTGTCGCTTTCACGTCGATGTTTCTCTCTCTCTCTCTCCCTCTCACTCTATCTGAACAAAATATCGAAAAATGTCCTCGGGTGAGGAAAAAAAAAAAAAAAAAAAAGCTAAAATTGAAGAATAAAGAGCTTCCCAGATAAGAAAAAGCCAAAGGATTTCATCACCAACAAATCAGTATTATAAGAAATATTAAAGGGATTTCTATAATAATAAGAAAGAGGGGAAAATAACATAATTATAAAAAATAAAATGACAATAAATATGTAACACACCTATCAATAATCAGTTTAGCCCTGGCCAGTTTGGCTCAGTGGTTAGAGCATCAGCCTGCAGTCCAGAGAGACCCGGGTTCGGTTCCTGCTAAGGGCATGTACCTTGGCTGCAGTTTGTCCCCGGCCCTGGTTGGGTCGTGTGGGTGGTGGCCACTCGATGTGTCCCTTTCACATCGATGTTTCTCTCTCTTCCTCTCTCTCCTTCCCACTCTATCTGAATAAAAAATGGAAAAATGTCCTTGGGTAAGGATAAAAAATAAATAAATAAATAATCAGTTTACTTTTTTTTTCTTTATTGATTTTAGAGAGGGAGAGAGATATAGAAACATTGATGAGAGAGAACATTGATTGGCCGCCTCCTGCATGCCCCCCACTGTGGATTTGGCCCACAACCTGGGCATGTTCCCTGATTGGGAATCAAACCGGCGACTTCTTGGTGCATGGGTAAACACTCAACCACTAAGCCACACCAGCCAGGCTCAATAACCACTTTAAATGTAAATGGATTAAATGCTCCAATCAAAAGACAGAACGGATGAGAAAACAAGCCCTATATATGTGCTGTCTACAAAAGACCCACCTCAGAACAACAGACATACACACACTGAAAATAAATGGATGGAAAAAGATATTTCATGCAAATGGAAATGAAACAAAAGTTGGGGAAGCAATATTTATATCAGACAAAATAGACTATAACAAGAGAAACAAGAGGCAAAGAAGGCCATTACATAATAAGAAAGGAGGAAGCAATCATTTATGTACCCAACATAGAATCACCTAAATATATACATCAAATATTGATAAACATAAAGGGACAGATCAACAGTAATACAGTCCTGCCTGTCTGGTGTGGCTCAGTGGGTTGAACATCATCCCATCATCCCATGCACCAATAGGTCACTGGTTCGATTCCAGGGAAGGGCACATGCCTGGGTTGTGGACTTGATTCCCAGTAGGGGGTATGCAGGAGGCAGTCATCTGTTGTTTCTCTCTCATCAATGTTTCTCTCTTTTTCTCCTCTATCTTTCTCTCTCTCTCTAAAAAAAAAAATCAATAAAACATATTAAAAAAACAAACAAACAGTAATAGTCATAGTAGGGGACTTTAACACCCCATTAGCATCAATGGGTAGATCTTCCAGGCAGAACATTAACAAGGAAACACTGGCCTTAAATGACGCATTAAACCAGATGGATTTAGTTGATATCTTCAACAGCACTTCACCCCAAAACTGCAGAATAATACATTTGTTTCAAGTGCACATGGAACATTTTCAAGGATTGACCACATTAGGCCATAAAACAAGACTCAATAAGTTTAACAAGACTGAAGTTATTTCAAGCATCTTCTCTGACCACAGTGGTATGAAACTAGAAATCAATTACCAAAAAAACTGAAAAACACACAAACACATAGAGAATAAATAACATGTTACTAAACAACAAATGGGTTAACAATGAGATCAAGGAAGAAATCAAAAGATAGCTTGATACAAATAAAAACATAAACACAACAACCCAGAATCTATGGGACACAGCAAAAGGGAAATTCATAGCAGTACAAGTCTACATCAAGAACCCCCCCCCCAAAAAAGTCAAATAAACTATCTAACCCTACAAATAAAGGAACTAGAAAAAGGACAAAGCCAAAGTGAGTAGAAGGAAGGAAATAATTAACATCTGGATGGAAATAAACGAAGTAGAATCTAATGTGTGTGTGTATGTGTGTGTGTGTGTGTGTGTGTGTGTGTGTGTGTAAAATAAAGAGACATAGATATGAAACCAAGAGCTGGTTCTTTGAAAGATAAACAAAATAGATAAACTGTTAACCAGACTCATCAAGAAAAAGAGATAGAATCCAAATAAATAAAATAAGAAATGAAGGAGAAGTAAGAATTGATACTACAGAAATACAAAGCATTAAGAAAATACTATGAACAAGTATATGCCAAAAAATTGGAAAATCTGGAAGAAATGGATAAATCCTTAGAAACATACAATATTCTAAGAATGAATCAAAAAGAAATAAAAAAATCTGAACAGACCAATTACAACCAATGAAATCAAAGCAGTCATCAAAAAACTCTCAACAAACAAAAGTCCTGGACTAGATGACTTCACAGGTAAATCTTACTAAATAGTCAAAGAAAAACTAACACCTATCCTTCTCAAACTATTCCAAACATTTCAAGAGGAGGGAAGACTCGCAAGCTCATTTTACGACACCAGCATCATCTTGATTCCAAAACTAGATAAAGACACTACAAAGAAAGAAAATTATAGACCAATATCACTGATGAATATAGATGCTCAACAAAAAATTAGCAAACCAAATTCAGCAATATATTAAAAAGATCATACACCATGTTCAAATGGGATTTATTCCTGGGATGCAAGTATGGTTCAATATCTGCAAATCAATGTGATACATCACATAAACAAAATGAAGAATAAAAATCATATGATTATATCAATAGATGCAGAAAAAGCATTTCAGAAAATCCAGTACCCATTTAAAGGAAAAGATAAATTCTAATATTTTTCCCAATTCTTCCTGAATAAAGAGTCCTTGCTAAGCTATTTGTAATAATTCCACTGGCTTGGGTTTTATTGTCTATTTTTATTCTTATTTATCATTGGATAACTGTTTAACTTCATTTTATGTCACCACACCCCCAGTAGGGAATAGGAATTGATTATGAAAGGAAGACAGCTATAAAGGTATTTCCTATACCAAACCAGGAAGTTGTTGCCTTCTTTTCTTTGATTATCTCTATTCAGGGCCAGCAAAAGTAGGTGTACAGTTGTGAGTACACAAAACACAGTCTATTCTTGTATTATTATTTATTAATTATTATATTATTTTTCATACAAACAACTGTAAACCTACCTTTGTCCCATCCTGCATAGTATCTCCCATTATCCACATTTTGTTACCCCCAAATAATGCTCTTAATACTAATTTAAGTAAATAAGAGATATTGAAAGTTCTACATTAAATATCATCCACACCAGGAAATTAGTTCCACAGGTTAAATTAATTCTTCAAAGGAAATATAAGATTATTCTCAAGACAATTCAAGGGAATTACTGGCCCAGAACAGTTCATCACCTCCCAGAGGAGACCTGTGAATTAAAAGCCACACAAAGGTTTTGACAGATGCCACCACCTGATGGGGGTCAGTCTTTCAAAGGAGCCCACATCAGGGACAGAGACTAAATTTAGAGACGTTTGACCCAGAAAGTTTTCTTCTAACAAAGTTCTCTAATTCTGATTCTAGAAATAGGTTTGTTTTTGTTTTTTTTAAGGAAACTTTAAAAAAATAAACAAAAATAGCATAAGCAAACAACATTATCTTGAGAGGTATAACTGAGAGTTTAAAATTAAATCATTGGAAATTTCTTTACTGCTGAACTGATGTGTTGCCCTTCAAGGATGAGCTTTAAAAGAATCTCTCTGGTCCGGCCGGTGTGGCTCAGTGGTTGAGTGTCAACCCATGCACCAAGAGATCACTGGTTCGATTCCTGGTCAGGGCATGTGCCCAGGTTGTGGGCCAAATCCTCAGTGGGGGCATGCAGGAAGCAGCAAATCAATGTTCTCTCTCATCAATGTTTCTATCTCTCTCTCCCTCTCACTTCCTCTCTCTAAAAAATCAATAAAGGAAAAAAAAATTAAAAAGAATCTCTCTGACTCTGGCCGATTTGGCCCACGGACCAAAGAGTTATAGTTTTGATTCTGGTCAAGGGCACGTACCTTGGTTGCAGTTCAGTCCCTGGCCCTGATTGGGATCATGCAGGAGGCAAAAAGAATCTCTCTAGTCAGATATTTTACAACTTTCTTTCTTTGTTATGAGTACTAAGATGTCTAGGGATAGGATTATGTCTAATAGTGTCCTTAAGACAGAGGTAAATAGTTAAATCTCCCCTATTGACATATGGCCCATTACCTCTTCTGTTAATCTGGACCTTGTTAAAACACCAGAACTTAACCTACTCTAAACCTTTTAATATCTTCCATCTGTCCTCACATCGTGATCCAAGCCCCTTAGCATGTACAAGGCCCTCCATCATCTAATCCCTGACTCTTTCCAACCTCATCTTTTAGCCAATCATGGCCTCCACTTCCCAGTCTAGTTTCCAGGAACAGCTACTACTTCCAGTTTCCTGTATATCTCTTATCTCAGAACCCTTACACCTTGGCTTAGGATGTCTCCCTATCTTTTTCCTTTTCTAAGTCATATCCTTAAGCACTGACATAATCTCTACCAAAAAGAATGACTTCCCATCTTCCCCCACTGCTTCTTACTGAATTATGAGTCCACCCTCTGCAAATCCAAAATATACACTCATCGTATATTCATCTTAACAATCTTCTTCTGGATGTTAGTCTCCCTTGAGATTCTATAAGGGCTGGGAGTGAGTCTCATCTTTGCATCCCCAGCACTTAGATCAGTGTCTGGCATGCTCAAATGATTTTAAATAATTATTTCATTACATTTACCTTTATTTCCTCTATGTCTGCTTTCTGGAGCTTTTCTCTGAAATGATTATCTGTTTCCAGCACATCAATCACTTGCTTGAGATATTCATCATAATAAAGTCCAGTATCCTTCAAATTAAGAAACAAACAATAAAGCTTCTGAAAGCTTTTCCTTCCCTGCATCTAAAGATCTCAATTCTAAGAAAAAAAGAAAAAAAAAAAGTCTAGCAAAATGGCAATGAACATATCTACTTTGATAGTTTGGACAGTCAAAGTTAAAAACCACAAATGAAGAGTTGCAGAAATCATGTTTTAGGGATCACACCCAAATCATGTTTCACTGATACTTAAAGGTCGATTTTCTATATGGCTTAGACAATGAAAACTTTAAAAATATTACTTGGGTTTGGCTCAGCGGTTAGAACATTGCCCCTCAAACTGAAGGGTCTTAGGTTCAATTCCCAGTAAAGGGCACCTACCTGGGTTGCAGGTTCAATCCCTCCCTGGCCCCGGTTGGGGTTGTGTGGGAGGCAACCAATTGATATGTCTCTTTCACATCAATGTTTCTCTCCCTCCCTCCCTCCCTCCCTCCCTCCCTTCCTCCCTCCCTCCCTTCCACTCTATCTAAAAATCAATGGGAAATATCCTCAGGTGAGGATTAACCCAAAAAAAGAAAAGAATGAACAAGTTAATTGGTTTTACCCCACTGTTACCTGTTTCTCCTCATTGCTATCTGTCTCTCCTTTGAATATAATAAAATGGGTTTGGTGGCAGGGGTTAGCTCTACATTATAAATGTATGGTGAATGCTTCTATACACTATCTAGTATACTAACTACATTTTTTAACATTAAACAACATATACTTGTCCTATACTCTTTTCATTGTTTCTAAATATCCAATTTTAAAACTAATATTAGCAATATTTTAGTTAAAATTCTTCCCACAAGATTATATTTCTTATTTGACTTACTGGTGGTTCTATCTTTGCACTGTCCACAGGGTGAGTATTTTTTACTTTTGTCTTGTCTATGTCTATAGGCACAGCCTCAAGAGTAGTAAGTAGACACGTAACCAAAAGGAAACAATATTGCAGTAGGACGGTCCTCCACCTCATCTGAAATAGAGGTATAATTACAGTAAGGTCCTGAAAGGATGTTTCCAAAATATATATCCATGCATTCCCAAAGCCACATTATTAATATAATCGATTTCAGGATATTTAATACAACAAAATAATTCTAGGAAAAGGGTTAAAATAGATTATAGCATAAAAATAATGCTTAAAATCTATCACTAAAGAAAATCAGGGTAGAAATGTTTTTCAGCTAAAATTAAAAGACGAGGAAATAAAATTTTAAAGTTTATATAGTATAAGAAAATATTTGGTTAATAATAAAAGCTTCAAATAAAGATGGCAACAAGGGACTCAAAAAAAATATTTTAGCCCTGGCCAGTTTTGCCCAGGAATTAGAGCATCAGCCCGCGGACCAGATAGTCCAGGGTTCAGTTCCCACTAAAGGCACGTATCTCAATTGCAGTTTGTCCCCGGCCCCAGTTAGGGTTATGTGGATGGCAACCAGTCGATGTGTTTCTTTCCCATCAATGTTTCTCTCTCCCCTCCTCCTCCCTCCCGCTCTATCTGAAGATAAATGCAAAAATGTCTTTGGGTGAGGATTAAAAAATTATATGTATATATATTTTAATGGCCCAAGTTTACAAAAGAGAAAATAATAAGAAAAAAAAACCTGCATATTTTTTCTCAATTAAAATATTAGAGGGACAAAATTATTTCTGGATATAATATTTAATTACCTTCAAATTTTGAAAATAAGATGTTCTATGTACATAAGTTGATTAAAAGAGACAAATAAGTAGCTACAAATATTCTCTTAACTTTATTAAACATTATCATAGCCAATAGTCTTTTGTTAAAATTCCTTTTGGTCGCCATGGCCAGTTTGGCTCAGCGGTTAGAGCGTCGGCCTGCAGTCCAGAGAGACCCAGGTTCGGTTCCCGCTAAGGGCACGTACCTTGGTTGCAGTTTGTCCCCAGCCCTGGTTGGGTCGTGCAGGTGGCAACCACTTGATGTGTCCCTTTCATGTCGATGTTTCTCTCTCTCTCTCTCTCCCTCCCACTCAATCTGAACAAAAAATGGAAAAATGTCCTCGGCTGAAGATAAAAAAATAAATAAAATAAAATAAAATTCTTATTGGTCAATAATTTTTCAAATAAATAGGTCAATAAATGTAACAGGGTTGATACAAACAAGGAGCAACTATTACTTGTCCCACAATATGATTCAAATTTTGCTTATTCAAACAGTTTCTACTCCATAAAGATTTTAGTAACTCTAGAGGATATACTACAAGAATTAAAATGACCCTGGCCAAGTGGCTCAGTTGGCTCAGCTTGTCCCGTGTACCAAAAGGTTGCAGATTCCATTCAAGGTCAGGGGATGTATCTAGGCTGTGGGTTCAATCCCTGCTTAGGGCCAGTGGAGGGCCACCGATGTCTCTCTCTCTCTCTAAAAATCAATTTTTTAAAAACAAGAATTAAGCCCTGGCCACTTTGGCTCAGCAGTTAGAGCATCGGCCTGCGGTCCGGAGAGACCCGGGTTCGGTTCCCGCTAAGGGCACGTACTTCGGTTGCAGTTTGTCCCCGGCCCTGGTTGGTCGTGCGGGTGGCAGCCACTCGATGTGTCCCTTCACGGCGATGTTTCTCTCTCTCTCTCTCCCTTCCTCTCTCTCCCTCCCACTCTATCTGTACAAAAAAAAAAAAAACAAGAATTAAGCTCTGGACAGTTGTTCAGTGGTTAGAGCATCAGACCGAGAACCAAAGAGTTACATGTTCAATTCCAGTCAAGGGCTTGTACGTCGGTTGCAGTTGGATCCCCACCCCCAACTCCCTCTAATTCTACCTGAAAACCAATGGAAAAATATTCTCAGGTGAAGATTTTTTTAAAAAGAATTAAAATCAATAGAAACCTCTTTTTTTTCTTTATTTATTTTACAGAAAGAAGAAGGGAGAGGGAGAGGGAGATAGAAACATTGATGAGAGAGAACAACAATTGGCCACCTCCTGCATACCCTCACTGGGGACCTGGCCCACAACCCAACACGTGCCCTGACCGGGAATTGAACCAGCAACCTCTAGTGCATGGGTCAACGCTCAACCACTGAGCCACACCAGCTGAGCTAAAACTCTTATTTAATTGATTTCATACATAAAGACTCATGTTAGGGTCCAAGTCAAGAATAACAGTCTGACCAACAATGTGGAGAATGCAAATAACTGTGTTTCCTCAGCTCAGCTGGCCATGGACTTTTTTTTAAGTAGCATGTTTTTATCCACAGAACACAATTACCAATAATGTACTTAATCAATTCCAAGATACACAATTTCTCAGTTTAACATCTCAGAAATCAGGATGATTTTCAGTTGATGGAATATTAAAATTGTGGTTGACAAAGTGGCAATAGTAACATCTTTACTGTCTACACATTTACAAATTTTATCATAACTACTCTTACTGCAATAACTTTAAATTGAGTTTTTGCATTATTGGTACTTTACAAATTGAATTTAATTAACATTTTTAAATGTCTTCAAAGGGTTAAATTATGACTTAGTATTGAAATGCAAAGTTATTTTATAAACATAGAAATATAACAGCTGAGCCCTGAGCAGTGTGACTCAGTGGTTGGAACACTGGCTTGTGTACTGGAAGGTCACAGGTTTGATTCCTGCTCAAGGGCATGTACCTGGGCTGGGTTGCAGGTTTGATCCCCGGCAGGGTGCTGTGGAGGCTACCAATCCATGTGTCTCTCTCACATCAGTGTTTCTTTCCCTCCCTCCCTCCCTCCCTCCCTCCCTTCCACTCTATATACAAATCAATGGAAAAAGTATCCTCAGGTGAGGATTAACAAAAGAAAGAAAAAAAGAAAGAAATATAGCAGCTGGTATTCGTGAAGCAAATATTTGATGTTAAGAGAATAACAGCAACTTTATATTTTCTTGTAAAGAAACAACTAAGTGCTTTACCTAAATTTAAACAGGAAGATAGACAAAGTAGACAGAGCTGCATGACATTTGTTACTGAGATACAAGATACCGATAAGCAGCCAAACACTGCTAATAAAACAGTATAAACTGACAAAGACTGAAAATGATTTTTTAAAATGTATATGGAATATAAGGCTAATTTGATGAATTCATGTCTCAAGGCAAATGTCAATTTGTCAGAAACTTCCTATTTACACTGAACAGAAGCTGCATAACTTCCATGAAATTTGAGAAAACAAAGCTGAGTTTAGTCAACAGGAAATGCTAACAAAATCCTGATGTCCTTTTACATGTCTCAAAGTAATACACTAATGCTGAAGATGCTAGTGATGGTATCCTGAGAATGGATTAGGAAATAGCCCATCTCTGTAATACTGTCATAAATGCCAATGGCCAAAAGTTGCTGCCATATTAAACCTTAAACTACAAAATAATTTCCCAAAAGTGTTACTGTATGCATTAAAATTAGGAAGGGATAATAGGGGATGAATGATGGCTGAGCTAAAGAAAGGCTGACTAGCTGGCCCTGTGTGGGTCAGTGGATTGTACATCCTCCCATGGGCTGAGAGGTCCCAGTTCAATTCCCTGTCAGGGCACATGCCCGGGGTTGTCGGCTCGATCCCCAGTAGGGGGCATGCAGGAGGCAGCCGATCAATGCTTCTCTCTCATCAATGTTTTTATCTCTCTCTCTAAAAAATCAATAAAAACATATTTAAAAAAAAAAAAAAAAAAGGAAAGAAAGGCTGACTGAATCTAGTTTGAATGTCTAAGAGCCCTTCCTAACCTGCCAAGTGTATTAGTTTAGTTCTAGATGCCTCCTGAGGCTGTGTATCTGAAAATTTAAACAGGATGCCTGAAAAGTAATACAACTCGATTTTATTCCTCTAGACAACTGCAACCCCTCAGCATTTCAGCCAACAAACCATTAAAGGAGAAGCTAAGGAAAGAAGAGGATGCCGAAATCTGTTGTCATCTTTTGAAAAGCACTTGCATCAGAGCTTGCAAAATGAGTATCAGAGGCTTGAAAGAAAATTCTAGGCAAAGGGGCTTGAAGAAACTTCCAGAAGAAAATTACCATCACTCTCCAGAGCAGAGAGAACAATTCTGTGTGAAAAAACATAGACATTGCCCTGGCCAGTTCGGCTCAGCCGTAGAGCCTCGGCCCGCAGACCTGGGCTCAATTCTGGTCAAGGGCATGTACCTAGGTTGCGGTTCCTCCCTGGCCCTCATTGGGATTGTGCAGGAGGCAACCAATAGATGTGTCTCTCTCATGTTGATGTCTCTCTCTTCCCCACTCTATCTTAAGATAAAAATGGAAAAACGTATCCTCAGGTGAGGATTTAAAAAAAAAGAAAAAAACAGACCCTGACTAGTCTGAATCAAGTTTGTTCCAAAAGAATGAGACTCAGAATGTGATAAAGTCTTAGAAATACCTTAATGAGTTTACTTAACTTGTAATTCCTTTCTATATGCACAAAAGTGATATGAGAAAAATCTGTATGTCTAAATGAATCTTAAAAAGCACTTTCTATAAACAAAAATGAAATGGTAAGTGATAAAGCAATGTAATAGTTTAATTGGCAGTATTTTTTCTACATGTGTATAATGATGTGTCTTAATGTCACTAATGTCTTAGAGTCAATGAAATACCTTATACTGAATTTTAAATGTATCATTTTCTTTCTATTTATCCTGATTCGTTAATATTTACTTCCTCTCCTTTCTTGCTTTTTTTCTTTTTGATTGATGGAGAATTTTTTAAAATATCCCCCCCCCCCCCCCCCCCCCACTTGCCCTGGCCGGTTTGGCTCAGCGGTTAGAGCGTCAGCCTGCGGTCCAGAGAGACCCGGGTTCGGTTCCCACTAAGGGCGCGTGCGTAGCTCTGTTGCAGTTTGTCCCTGGCCCTGGTTGGTCATACAGGTGGTAGCTACTCAATGTGTCCCTTTCATGTCAATGTCTCTCTCTCTCTCTCTTCCTCTCTCTCCCTCCCACTCTATCTGAACAAAAAAAAATGGAAAAAAATGTCCTCGGGTGAAGATTAAAAATAAATAAATAAAATAATAAAATAAAATAAAATATGTTTCCCCCCTCTACTATTTTCTAATATTTTAGTGTTTGTTCTAGAAATAATTAGGACAATAATTTACTAAAGTTTAAAGGTAAGTAAAACATTTACTCTACTCCTTTTTTTTAAAGAGAAAGAGAGCCCTGGTCTGTTTGGCTCAGCGGTTAGAGCGTCGACCTGCGGTCCTGAGAGACCCGGGTTTGGTTCCCGCTAGGGGCGTGTAATTCGGTTGCACTTTGTCGCCGGCCCTGGTCGGTTGTGCGGGTGGCAGCCACTCGATGTGTTCCTTTCACATCGATATTTCTCTCTCTCTCTCTCTGTTCCTCTCCCTCCCACTCTACCTGAACAAAAAATGGAAAAATGTCCTCGGGTGAGGATAAAAAAAAAATTTAAAAAAATGGGAAAATGACCTCAGATGAGGATAAAAAAAAAGAGAGAGAGAGATAGAAACATCCATGTGAGAGAGAAATATTGATCAGCTACCTCCTACACGCCCCCTACCAGGGATAAGCCCAAAACCCAGGAATGTGCCCTGACCAGGAATCAAACCAGGACCTCTCAGTCCATGGGACAACATTCAATCCACTAAGCCACACTGGCTGGGCTGTTAGCCTTTTTTTAAAACATCCATAAATTGCCAAAAAACAAAACAAAACATATCTATTAGCATTTATGGGTAATTTTTTAAAAATAACCAGACAGAAATTATCAAGACAGAAATGTTTCTATAATGAATCATGGGATAAAAGTTTAAAAAGTAACAATTTATTAGATGAAAGTTATTTTCTTCTGTAGAAGTGGTCAGATTTAAAGCTCTACTATGGAGAAGTCCCAAAGCTTCTATGAGTGGTTATCATGGCTTACAGTGCACAGAGATGAAAGAAAAAGATCCATACCGTGGAAGATAATTCTATTTGCCTGCCAATATCCACATCTTCCCTTTTTCCTCAATAACAATAGCCCAATTTTATTCAGGTCAGCCATGCATCCAGCTACCTTTTCCTGCTTCCCTGGTAGCCTGAGCATGTGCTCTCTAAAAGGAAAGAATACATCTTTCTTTGTCTTTGCCTTGCTGCCTGAAACTTGGCTGTGGTGGTTAGAGCTCCAGCAGCTATCTTGGACTACAAGGACCAGGGCCACACGTTATGTATAGAAGAATAAAGAATTGGAAAAAGCTTCGATCCTTGATGACTTTATAAGGTTACCATACCTAACCTGGACTGCCTGCTTCAAGAATTATTTCATATGAGAAAATAAATAATGTGTGTTTAAGCCATTATTAAGTCTGTTTTTGTTGTTGTTCTGTTTCATTTTGTGGGGTTTTTTTGTTTTTGCTTTCTTAACTGATCACTTACCTTCAGATAAGTTAAGAATTTTTATCTCCTGTTCACAGATGAGGTAACTGAGATCTAGAGAAGTAAGATGACTTGCACAATACCAAATTAATAAGGAGGTGGGTCTGGGCTCCGAGTTCAATGTTTTTTTTTACTACAAATGGTCTCTTAACAGGTTCTAAATGTAAAAAAATAAAATAAAAACACATTAAATATAAACATAAATGTAGGCTTATTTCAGTGGCAATGGCACATGACAGTGTATGAATTTGTCACATCCTGTGAAAAAAGTACCAAGTATTTATGATGTGGAAGACTAAATTCTATCATATTCCATTGTGAAGGGAGAGAGAGAGATTAAATAAACGGAATCAAAAACCAGAATAGACAAAGATATTGATTGTTGTGCCCAGGTTTCACCATACTGCTCTCCTTTTAAATAAATAAGAATTCCAACTAAAAGCTTATTTTGCTCAGCAATAAGACTTCATGATATAGTTTCCCATCAAATCCTTAACTGGGCCCTGACTGGTTTGGCTCAGCGGTTAGAGCGTCGGCCTGCGGTCCAGAGAGACCCGGTTCGGTTCCCGCTAGGGGCGCGTACCTCGGTTGCAGTTTGTCCCCGGCCCTGGTTGGTTGTGCGGGTGGCAGCCACTCGATGTGTTCCTTTCACATCGATGTTTCTCTCTCTCTCTCTGTTCCTCTCTCTCCCTCCCACTTTATCTGAACAAAAAGTGAAAAAATGTCCTCGGGTGAGGATAAAAAAAAAAATCTTTAACTGGGCCCTGGCTGGTTTGGCTCAGCGGTTAGAGCATCGGCCTGTGGTCTGGAGAGACCCAGGTTCGGTTCCTGTAAAGGGCGCGTACCTCGGTTGCAGTTTGTCCCCGGCCCTGGTTAGGTCGTGTGGGTGGCAACCACTCGATATGTCCCTTTCACGTTGATGTTTCTCTCTCTCTCCCTCCCACTCTATCTGAACAAAATATCAAAAAATGTCCTCGGGTGAGGATTAAAAAAAAAAAAAAAAAAATCCTTAACTGGAAACTTTCTTCATCCTTACCACTACTTTTAAAAATTCATCTTGCCCTGACTGGTTTGGCTCAGCAGTTAGAGCATCGGCCTGTGGTCCAGAGAGTGGCAGCCACTCAATGTGTCCCTTTCATGTCAAGGTTTCTCTCTCTCTTTCTCTTCCTCTCTCTCCCTCCCACTCTATCTGAACACAAAGTGGAAAAGTGTCCTCAGGTGAGGATAAAAAAATTAATTAATTAAAAAATTCACCTTGGCCCCAGTCTCAGTCACAAGATAAGTAATACAGAAAAACATCTCACCCTGGCCAGTTTTGCTCAGTGGTTAGAGCATCGGCCCACAGACCAGAGAGGCCCAGGTTTGGTTCCCACTAAGGGCACATACCTCGGTTGTAGTTTGTCCCTGGCCCCAGTTGGGGCCGCGTGGGTGAGACCACTCGATGTGTCTCTCTCAGAATGATATTTCTCGCTCTCTCTTCCTCCCTCTCTCCCTAACACTCTATCTGATGATAAATGCAAAAATGTCCTCGGGTGAGGATAAAAATAAATAAATTTATTAATTTATTTAAATAAAATAAAGGAAAACATCTCAATAAAATTGTTGAAACCCCACTACCTAACTATGAAATTCAAGGTGGTTAGCTCATGTGAAAACTCACTGGTGAACGCAATTATTTCTAAGTAGTCTGTAAGAAAATAAGCAAATAAAATGTCTTCAAGTTTTAAGAACGGATATATTTCTTTCTTTTTATGATATATTTAACATAAAAATCATAAGCAGGAGAGTGATCATACATATGCATGTTATCTGTGTTATCTAAGACTTTTATTGACATAGCGTGGTCAAAAATAAATAGCAGATTGAATCCTAACCACTCCTATTTACTAGAATGTTACTTGCCTCCATTTTCCTATCTAGAAAATTAAACTAATACTTCTTCATAAGTTTTTGATTGAATGAAAATAAGAATTAACACAATGTGAGTAGCACAGTGCATGGCAATAGTAAATGCTCGATAAATATTAATGCCCTTCCTGTCTTGAAAATGAAATAGCTATATATTGAAATAATGAAAACCTGTTATTAAAAAGTAATAAACCTGTGTGCATACAACCTTTAAATGTCATTTTTTGAAGGGCTACATTAGAACTCTCCTCTGAGCATTGCCACAACCTAAGTCCTGATGCAGCTGTAGGCCAATAAAAAGAATATATCCAACAAAGAGGAACACAATCTCTTCCTCCCTGGCATTAAAACAGAGATATTTGCAGAGGCCCAGGTTTCTTTCTCCAAGGCACATCTCTGAGCCAAACCTGGGTTGCTTCTTCTTGCTGTTAATGTCATAACTCTAACAATGAGGTAGAGAAAAAATGGCGTCCGAGTTTCTCAGTGACAGCAGTGACAACCACAACGGGTAACCTGATGCTCAACTCCATTTTTCCCTTTGAAAATGAGAATAAATGGGAAAGTGAAGTTCAAAATAAAATACCAGCTGAGCTGAACTTTAACCTTTCCCTGTATCAATACATCAGTATAGATGTTAGTATCTCTAATGCTCATATTTGCAAAAAAGTACATCAATCAAGGAAACCATTACATGGCCTTTTTTTCACTTGACCATCAGTTACAGTATCCTTGGTAATAGGCTTATGAAAAGTAGATACTGTTGCTCATTTGTATCACTCAATACCCAAATTTATTAAAATTACATCTTCAATATTTACACATACCTCAGATAACTAAAATACAATGTCAAAAAGTCCTGCCAAAAATAGAAGCATGCAACTTCTTTCTCAATATCCCTTAGGTTGCTTTGAAAAATTTAAATCAGAGCATTCTGGGACTAGAAATTATCTTAGTGGTGGTTTGATCCAGATCTTACTTTTTTAAAAGTAAATTTAACTAATTTGGCCAATATCATTTGGAAGAGCCAGGATTGGAATCTGGCTATCAAATTCTAATTAAGCATACTTTTTACCATATCATGGTGGGGGGGGGGGTGTTTTTTTAATATATTTTAGTTTGAAAATCATTAAAGTGATTAAGGTTTTTCCTTTTCCTAATAAGTTATTTGAAATTGTTAGGAGCCTGTTTTCTAAAGTCTATAAACTAATTGCGTGTATTAAACATAAAAACAACAAATTTCCCCTTTTTAGACCTTCAATTATTTAGAAAAAGTTAATCATCTATCATGCCAAATATAGTCAACACAATTACTTACAATACTTAAAAGATTATCTACTTTAAGGATTATTTTAAATACATTTTTAAATCCTACACTTGATTCCTCCAGCTACCCAAAATTTACACAGGTATTTTGAACACCTAAGTCATCCAAAGGGTCCTTAGAAAGTGAAAAGCAATTTAAATATTATTCTAAATAACATAAAATTGTGCCCTTCCTGGTTTGGCTCAGAGGTTAGAGCATCGGCCTGCGGACCTAAGGATTGTGGGTTTGATTCCTAGTCAAGGGCACATACCTGGGTTGCAGGTTCAATCCCTGGCCACAGTCAGGGTGATGCAGGAGACAACAAATTGATATGTCTCTCTCACATTGATGTTTTTCTCTCTTCCTCCCTCCCTTCCACTCTACCTAAAAAAACAAAAATTAAAAATAAATGAAAAAATATTTTCAGGTGAGGATTAACAAAAAAATTTAAAAACACAAAATTGGTTTAGTATAGAGACTTACGCAGCAAATCCCAAAACAAAAAGACCCTGGTGTTAACCATGTTACTGATACTCTGTACCATATCAATAACTAGTGGGTTTTTTGTTTTGTTTTTAATTGATTTGTTCTTGTTGTTAATTTTCACCGAAGGATATTTTCCCACCGATGCCCTCGGGTGTGGGAAGACGCTCCAATCAACTGAGCCACAATGGCCAGTGCTCAGTAACTAGTGTTTTGAAAGGTACCCTCATTGCCCGGCCAGTGTGGCTCACTGGTTGAATGTATCCCATGAACCAAGCACCAAGAAGTCACCGGTTCGATTCCTGGTCAGGACACATGCCCAGATTGTGGGACCAAACCCCACTGGGGGGCATGCAGGAAGCGGCCAATAAATGTTCTCTCTCATCAATGTTTCAATCTCTCTCTCTCCCTTCCTCTCTCTCTAAAATCATAAAGAAAAAAATTTTTTTTTAAAAAAAGAAAGGTACCCTCATTGCTTTAATTGTGCATTACATTTAACTGGTCTTTCAGACCACAAACCAGCTTGGCAAAAAGCATGCTGAATGGGTATATACAAAATGTGTAATGTGAATAATAACTATCTCAGGAGGTCAGAGCAAGGTAAACACAACATGCACCTGACCCTTGCAAGATGGGTAAAATTAGCATAGATGCTGGAGAACAATATGAGTAACCAGAAGAAAACAGAAGTAAATTTTTCACTTACACTACAAAGTTGGACCAGATCATGGAGAGTTTAAAGTCCAAAATGAGAAATAGAAGTTTCATGTTCATCCTAATAACAAGAGTGATATTATTCGAGATTTCACCTCTAATTCTAAATGTCCATGTTTGTTTGTTTTTGTGTTTGTCTTTTTTTAAAATTCTCGATCCTATTAACTGAGGAACATTTGTGGAAACATTTTTTTGTTCAACTTGTACAAGTTTTATAAAACAAGAACTCACACTCAGCTTAAGTCAGGATGAATCCTGAGACAATTTCTATAAGGGGCAAGATGCTACAATCTGGATATTGTTCAACAGAATTCACCAGGGAAAGCCTTAAAGAAAAAAATATTTATATAGGTTGTGCAAGAAGCTATAGATATTCTGATCTAAATCTATAATACCATTAGCCATATTACTTTAAGAATTTCTTAAAGCAACTGTCTCATCAATTCTAAATCCACAGTCTCCTTCAAACAAAGCTATCAGAAACATCTGCATTTAACCTTGCTCTCTGTCCACGTTTTTTAAAACAAGATAATATATCATTTGGTGTTCATATTCATCCATGGATTTAATAGCCTTACCAAAAGGCACAGATGGCAGACAGCACTTACTTACTCAATTGTGTAAAATGTGCATTATCCACTTTAGGAGTTTAGTGAACAGCACCAGCCACAATAACCACATTTGCTCACCGAGTTACCACTTAACAGGTGCAACAAGAAAGTATCATTTCCTCATACTCCGAAACCAAAAGAGCTCATCTCACACCCAACGACTTGTCATTTAAGGGAAAACAGTACCACAACTGACACGAACTTTCTCCTCTCCCTAGTGTCAGGGGTTACCGGCTTAACAGAATTGGCAGAAGAGAGGATTCACAGGCCTAGCTTTGCTCGGCGGCGCGAGGGGGGTGTGGGGGGTGGTGAGTATTAGCCTGGAATTTGTGGGTACACTCTCCTCAACAGTTGGCACCTCCATCACGAATAGACCTGCAAAGGCCAGGCTGGAACTCCGCCTGGGTCTCGGTCCAGCACGCACCCGCGCCTGCTCCTCGCCAAGAGCCTGTCACCCTTATCGACCCCAAAGAAATCCTGGGTGCCCTGCGACGGGTGGAGCGGAGGAAAGGGCCCCGCGCCTCAGGCTCGAGCTAGAATCCCACTCCCACCCATGTCCTCCCACAGTGCGGCCCCAGCCATCCTCAGTGCCCCGGCAGGGCAGAAGACCTGAGCCTTATATCAGGACCCGCCCCAGCCTTCCGCGGTACTGATTCGCACCCACCTCGAGGTCACCGGCCTTACCTAGCTCGCCCCTGTCTCGACGCGTGAGGTTCCGCCTGATGAATGCCTGCCCGGCACAGACCTGTCCTGTCTTGCCAGCTCCCAGTTTGCAGTTTAGCTCTGTACTTCTGTCTAACGCGAGCTCCCGCCTCCTCGCTGCCATGGCGATAGCTCCCGCCCCAGGCAGCCTGTGATTGGTCCGACTGCAATAGCGGAAGGCGCTGATTGGCCGGGGCGGAGATGAGACCGCGCCGCGGGCTGGGAGGCTAGCGGCCTCTAGCGCGTACACTAAGGAGCCTAAGGGAGGTTGAGCCAAGAGGGACGTGGCGCTCTGCTACGCGGGCGGGGAAGCCGCGCCCCTTCCTTCGTCTGCTTTCACCGGGAAGCTCGTAGAGCAAGATTTGGGCGGGTGAGCTACTGTACTGGGAGCGGGCCTCCTTGTTGCTGGCCGGCGCCGGCAGCGCCCAAACCAGTCAGCGACAGGCCGTCAGGCCCATTTTCACCCACAGGCCTCGTTTGGGTCTCACCCCCCGAGCTTCCTCCACACCCCCTCCGTTAGGCTGGGCCCTTGGCCACTGTGGCTTGACTGCATTTTGCTCCACCTTCTCTCACACCCATCTACGGACATAGCTCCCATCTCTACACCCACGCCCCTCATACAACTGGGACACCTACTACACAACCCTCATTTTAAAGATGGGGAAGCTGAGGCTTAAAGGTACACGTGGCTCAAGGGTTAGAGAAGCTTTCGGAGCCCCAAGACTGGTTTCAAGAGTTTGAGTCTGCTAAATAATAGCACCTCTCTGGGCCCCAGTTTTCTCCTTTGTGAAAATGGTACCATCTATTTCACAGTTGTTAGTGAAGATTACATGAGATGACATTCCAGAAAACCAGTACAGAACCTGTTGCATATGCTAGAAATGGTAGCTTTTTATCAGGAAGTAATAGGGGTAGGAGCTAAGTGTGCCAATTTTGGAGCCAGACTGCATGTATTGCAAAAGCAGACTCTGCTTATCACAAACCAACTCCATGACAGAGCAAAGTACTTAAATGCCCTGTACCTCAGTTTCCTTGTCTCAAAGACGAGGATTAAAATGCCCTTCCTCCTTACACATAACAAGTTAATAGAAAGGTGACTGGCACACAGTAAGTGCTCAGTAGATGTTAGTTATTTTCACATTAGTGACTGAGCTAGGACTATAATTCAGGTCTCTGGTTTCCAAGATCAGCCATCTTTACTCGTATATACTTCTCATCTACATACTTAGATCAGTGCCTCAAGGTTAAGATCCTATTTAAGGCTCGGGAAGAAACACTTTTCCATTTTCTTTAAATCAAAATCTTAAATTATCTCCCTCATCGTCATGAAAGTCCTAGAACATGGTGACTCTGCTTCCCCTGAAGGTTTAATAGTGGAGGCAAATGTAAGGAAAGTAGTCATCTTCTGCTTTCATGGATAGATTGAAGAGTAAACGGACTAGAGAAAGAAAGGATATTCAAGAGTTATGATGTAGGAGCACTAAATTTCAATTTGAAAACATGAGAAATATTTTAGTATTGGTCATGTATCATTAGTAACCAATATTGGTGTAAGATCAGAAGATAATACCATATCCCAACACTGGGAAACACTGAATTGTGAATACATTAAAGGCAAGACCTATCTTCTGCATTTTTATTACCTGTTACCTACCACAGGGCCAAATACAGTGTCTGATTCAGGCACTAAAATTTGGGTTAGACCCTTTAATCGATTATTATCTGGTACTAATATAGATTATTTCTAGTAACCCAGTGGAGATGAAGAATGGAAAATGAAAAGATTGGTTCAGTCCAACAATACAATGAAAGGAAAAGGATAAATGAACACTAACTTGGTAACTGAGATACCAGCATTATTCTCAGCAATATTCTGGGGTGAAGGATAAAGAGAAAACAAGGAAGACAGAGCAAACAAATGAAATAGCAAGATGTAGGATTAAGCCTGCCTGGTGTGACTCAGTGGTTGAGCGTCGAACCATGCACCAAGAGGTTGCCAGTTCGATTCCCAATCAGGGCTGTGGGCCAAATCTCCCGTGTAGGGCATGCAAGAGGAGGCCAATTGATGTTCTCGCTCATCAATGTTTCCATCTCTCTCTCCCTCTCCCATCCTCTCTCTCTAAACTCAATAAGGAAAAAAAAAATTTTTTTTTAAGATGCAGGATTAAGAGGATCCTGAAAGAACACACCTGGAAAGCTGCCGAATATTCTATTCAGATCTTCCCCTGGACCGCCCCTAAAATTTCCACCCTTAAAATCCTTAGGATGAGGATTCTGCTGGCTCTTTCTCCAGGAAGCATGCCCAAGTCTTTCCCTCACCTCTCCCATTCCCCTGATGTGTGTCACCTTTACCTTTCTTTACCTGTATAACTTGTTTCCTAAGCCATTTTCTTCTATGAATTAATTCTTCTACCTCTGAGATTTTCCAAATAAATGTTCTCATTTAAAAAAAAAAAATCACTGAGAAAAATATTTCAGAATGCCATGTGCATACAAAACAGGTGGCAGCATCTCTCATACTAATATAGATTGTCTTGTAGTAGAGAAAAATAGGAATGTTGATAGTGAGCCCTGGAACATTCTGTGATCCGAGAGATTTATGAGGAAATATTACTTCACTTAATAGGTAAAACCCAAAACTGGAGGGTTTAGCACTGATGTAAAATCTCCTGATGGGAAGGAGGACTAGAGAACATACCTACCGCTGTGTTGTACAAGGGAACAAACAAGGCTTTGGAATCAGAACTGGGTCCCAGCTCTGACTGATCAGCAGTCTTTAATTGTATATACTTCTCATCTACATACTTAGAACAGTGCTTCTGCCTGTATTAAAAACTCAGCTTCACCTTTAGTAGCTGAATGTCCTCTGGCAAGTTACTTAACAACCTCTCTTCATAGCATAACTTCCCCATCTCTAACATGGAGGCAATACTAGTGCCCACCTCACAGAGTTGTGAGGATTAAATGAGTTTTTATTTGTAAAGCAGAGCAGTGTGTGATACATAGTAAGTGCTATATTAATGTTTGATAAAACATTGGCCTCAGTTTCTCCATCTGTAATCTGGGATCATAATACTGAACTTAGTGTAAAGATTCAAATGATGCATGTAAGTTGTTCAGAGATGCTCAATAGGTATTATTTCTCTTCCCCTTCACATCCCCCAGCTTCCTGCCACAACCACCCCCCTCCCCAGCCTGTTACCTTTGAACCCCTCACTGATTACCAATGTCACTGCCATCAAGGGGCTATTGCTTAACTTGGTATGAGCAAGGATAAAATATCCTTATTTTCCTTGGCTCAGCTGAGAAACTCAAAAAGTTTACTGGATGCCAGGAGAAAATAAAAGTGAAACAACAGAGAATTAGCTGATGTGAAGCCCACCCCCATATTACTGCTTGTGATACTCCGGGAGGGGGAGCGGCAAAAAAGTGTGAAAGAGATTCTGGAAATTTAATACTTCAATTCTTCCCCTTGTCACTTTTTCTAAGATCTCACAGAACATCAACTGGCCAAGTTCTTCATGGTTTCAAGTCTTACACTCATGTCTTTGATTCATTTTTTAGTTTCTTTCTGTGTATGGTATAAGCTAGTGGTCCAGTATTATTCTTCTCAATGTCACTGTCCAGTTTTCCCAACAGCATTTATTGAAGAGACTTGCCATTGTATGTTCTTGGCTCCTTTATCATAAATATGTGCATGTTTATTTCTGGGACTCTATATTCTTTCCCCTTGAGCTATTGTTTCTGCTTTTGGCCAGTACCATACTGTTTAATTACTATCACTTTATAATATAATTTTATATCAGGAAGTATGATGCGTCTGGTTTTGTTCTTTCTCAAGGTTATTTTGGTTATTCAGGGTATTTGGTCATTACAGACAAATTTTAAGATTGTTATTTCAATAAGCTTTCTTTGAACCTGTAGATTGCTTTGGGTAGTGTGGATATTTTAACAATATTAATTCTTCTAATCTGTGCACATGGACTATCTTTCCATTTATTTGTGTCTGCTTTAATTTCTTTTATCAATGTCTTATAGTTTTCAGTGCCCAGTTCTTTCACTCCTTGGTTAAATTTATTCCTAGATCTTTTATTCTTTTGATGTAATTATAAATAGAATTGTTTTCTTAATCAGTTTTTATTATCAATTTTTTCTTGTTATTTTTCCCTGTGGTTTATCAGTAAAATAAGTTCTATACAAACATCAACTACCTATCTTTCTTTTACTCTCTTTCTCTCACCTGACAAAAACCCAGCCCTAGGTGAATCCAAAATATGCCTTATCCTTGTCTGTACCACTATAGCTCTGCAGAAGAAATACCATTAGTCCCATGTCTCTAAATTCATGGTCATCAACCTCAGACAGAACCTAACCATTGCCTAACAGTCCTCCTGTGTTTCTTCAGCATACTTTCTCTTCTGTCTCAAAGGCCATTTCACACTTCTTGTACCGCAGATCTCCCATTTCTCCTTCCCACTCATTAACAGCTGATCCTAAGTCAGTTTTGTTGAGGACACGCTTGTACAAGTTAAAGAACTCTTCTTTAATGAACCAGCATTTCTCAAGAGCAACACTATTGACACTTTGGGACAAAGTTTTATTTTATGCTTTATAGAATGTTAGCAGCATCCCTGGTATCTATATTCTAGATGCCAATAACACCCCCACCCTCCATGTGTCAACCAAAAATATCTCTTGACATTGCGAAATATCCATTGAAGAGTAGAATCACCCCCAGTTGAGAACCACTGATTTAAAGCAGAAACCCTTTAGCCCCTCCCTCGGCTCAGGGTCTCTGGCTAGGTCTCTCCTTGAAACTTTGGTGCTGCTTGGCCTTGATCTCAGTCCCATGTAATCCACCAGTTTCTGCATTAACCCAGGAATACCTCACGTGTGTCTGTGCAATTAGCTGGGAATTCGTCCACTGTAATAAAGTGTTTATAAACATAATTTAAAATTTTTTAATTAGAAGTAATAAAACAGCAGAAACTAATTATATCTAACTTAATGAAAAGGGGGATTTAGTGAGAAGATTGTGGAGTAACTCAGGCAAAATGAGTGGGAAAAGAATCGCAGGGGCAGG